AAAGATGGATTTAGAAATTCCTAACCCATGTTAGGGTTTTGTTTTCTGTTTGTGTCTACGCCAGTAGAATTTGTTAAGCGAAGGAAATTCAAACACTTTTAAAGGAATGCTGTCCAAACCACTCAAATTCTTGTGGATACGTCGGGAATCAAAATTGTCCCTCTTACACTGAAGTCCGAGACACTAACCACTAGGCTAACTACACCTCGTAGTTTAGGTTGTAAGTCTCAGCAAGTTTTCTCATAAAAATGAACGTAGATGAATTAAGCTAAGCCTCTGAGTGTGTTGATGTATATAACAATTGACAAGAAAATTTCATTCATCAACGTTTTGGGTGAGGTTCATAAGGTCCAAATTTCACAAAGTCCAATGGTTAAAATATTAATAAACAGAGCGTTTCACAAGGTCCAAATTTCACAAAGTCCAATGGTTAAAATATTAGTAAACAGAGCGTTTCACAAGGTCCAAATTTCACAAAGTCCAACGTTAAAATATCAAATGAACAGAGCGTTTCACAAGGTCCAAATTTCACAAGGTCCAACGGTACAGTCTCGGCCAGAAGTCGCTGCAGAGGTTGCCGTTGTTCGGTATGTAGGCACTACACGATCTAGTGTTTTGCCACTTGTTCACCCCCTCCGCAGCAAACCTGCAGACTAATCGATTTTCCATTTCCCTTATTTGATTTACACTAGAATATCTCCTTAAAATGATCACATTTGTTCCCTATTTAAATAGCATTAGTTTAACAAGTACCGTACTTAGGTTTGCTGCAACAAGGAGTAATCAGTAATCAGTAATTGAGCGCCGGCGGACGGTGCCTGCTATCTGACCGTGGCAACCACTGTAGAGACTTTTGGCCCAGACTGTACCGTTGGACCTTGTGAAATTTGGACCTTGTGAAACGCTCTATTTATTTGATATTGTAACGTTGGACTTTGTGAAATTTGGACATTATGAAACAGTGATTATTTGAATGTTATAGTTTTAGACTTTATGAAATTTGGACCTTGTGAAACGCTCTGTTTATTTGATTTTTAACATTGGACTTTGTGAAATTTGGACATTGTGAAACGGTGATTATTTGAATGTTATAGTTTTGGACTTTATGAAATTTGGACCTTGTGAAACGCTCTGTTTATTTAATATTTTAACGTTGGAATTTGTGAAATTTGGACTTTATGAAACGCTCCCTACGTTTTGGCTATACTACCAACTTAGGCGGACTTGACTACTGCTCATTTTACGTAGTTGAAACCTAAGTGAATGAAGATTTGAAATGGGTGTCGCCTGAACACCATGAATCTACATGTGACTGTGGAATCCTATCCATGAGGAGAATAATGTTGTTTCCCAGAGATATCTTACAATAATTAACTAATCAATTTTTCCCCTTTGTAGAAGAAGCTGGCAAACCTGTGTGCTACAGCGACGGACACGACGTCAGCTGGTACTGCCTCACTGCTGGGCAGAGAACAGGTGAAGACTGACATTGACACCATCGTAGCCTCAGAGTGTCTGTACTGTGGAGACTACATGATCAAGTGAGAGGGACAAGATAGTCTTTATCTACTTAATATAATTGTAAAGATTGCAACAGTTGTTAATGGTGTAAGATTATACACCGTTCAAATAATTTTTCTGAAAAAAAGTCATAGTTGATAGCACACAAAAAGTTCAAAACATATTTAACTTTGTTTTGTCGCTCCAAGGAGGCTTCGGAAGGAAAACAATAGCTGACTAACTCAATACAGATAACTTGACACTCTGTGCAACTCAACAGTGAGTGAAAGACAGTTAACACACCATAGTTCGTTTGAGATGACATTTAATTTAACTTCATAGGATAACGGAAGTGAGTCGAGGCGATAATCCCAAAACTTGAAAGTTCCAAGCCGGAGCTAAGACTAAGCCATGATGTGGCCAATTGTGGCCCACTATCGTTTACACATCCTCATTATTTATCACCCATTAAGATTTCAATTTTTTTAAATAACTCGACAACCACCAAATTCAAGAACTTCTGAGCAGTTTTCAAATTCTAGTTTGTGCAACTTATTTTGGGGTATGAAAGATGGGAGTTGGCTTATTATTTTGTTCCAAATTCACCGGACGAGTATGGTTGTTTCAGATATTATTTTGCCTTGCAACTCTATACTAACCTAAATATAAAAATTAAAAAAACTGTACAAATCCGTTATATAGACCAACCACAGGTCTTGTCAATTACTACTCATAATTTCTAAGAGAGGTTATGTTTTTGTTTATAACCACTGATTGCCAATTATATTCGGCTGGTGTCCAGTAAAAATTGATTAAAGTACAGTAGTACGTAATGAAATCGCATTTGATTAGGCAGGTGGCAAACAGCTGATTTCCAGATTAAATCCTTGCGTGGAAAGACCATTAAAATTCTGAAGTGTGGCAAAAAATATTTTACCTACAACCGTTTTTTAAAGTAGCCATTTCAGTCCAGTTCTTAGAATTGAAAAGTTTCACTTTACAGCTGTTTACTTTCATATCCGCATAGTTTCATTTCATATCCGCATAGTTTTCTCATATCCACACAGGTAACGGACCAATGAGGTTCAAGTATTGAGAGAAAAGAATTAAAATTGTAATGCTTCGAACGTCAACTAATCAGCTGATCAGCTGATCAGTTGACCAATTTAATTGTTGATCCGACTTGTTCATGTTGATACTCGCGTATTCTTAATTAAGTTGGTGGAAGTCCAAAAATAAATTAAATATTTGCCGAATTGTACCTGATACAATATTATTTATGGTAAGAATGCTGCTAGCAATGTAATATTTAACGAAGTTTAACAAACACGTAATTACAGGAAATCAGCTGATTATACAACAAGTCGTTGCATCACTTTCAGTGGCAATGACAATACACGAAAACATAACCTCTCTAAAAAGTTATCATTAGTGATTGTTAGTAATTAAATCCAGATTGATAGTAATTAAAAAACGGTCGTAGGTAAAGTAGTGTACGCAACTCGCGTTAATAGTCTTTACGACACTCGTAGAAGTTTTTAAGGCACTCGCCTTTCTACTCGTGTCGTAAAGATTCACTTAACGCAATCGTTGCGTAAACTACTATTATGTAGGTAGTTATTAAATATAATTAAAGCCATTAGCCGTGGACAATATCGCATTGTACCTTTGACTATAAACTCACTGAAGGCTTTTTTAGGTCCAGCTAAAAGACACAAAACGAGAGGTTTCTAAAAGAACTTTTCTACTAAACCGATACAATAATCTCATTTAGAGAGTTGAATTGTCTAAGCCTTTGTAAGAACTGTTTCTTTCACAACCTCGTGCTTTGTTTTCAGTGCTCTTGATCAACCGTTTATCAAGGATGAAGACTACGACCGCATTACAAAGGAGTGGGAGTGATAATAAAGTTAGGTGCTAAATGGTAAATATACCTAGTTTCAATTCATTTCACAGTGATCACCAGTTTTGTAAGTTTAAGCCTAATCTTAGTCCTACAGCCAGAAGAAATGTTTTTGTGGACATATAAGCTTGGACCCAATTTTTTTAGGTAAGTTGGAATTTATTTCCCCGTTTCAACAACAATGATTATTCAGTCACATGGTTTTTATTTTAAATAAAACTTTGTTTTTAAACAACAAGCACTTAAAAGATCTAAATATCTCGTTAAGTGTTATACAAATGGTGATTACTGTTATAAAAATAGTGTAATTCAGAGGCCATACCATAGCTAAATATTATCATGATATGTGATGTATTTTTATACTCATGTTGTTTTCTGTTATGTTATTTTGCGGAGCAATATTTTATTTATACATGTGTAATTCTAATCAAACCTCTCTTGTTGGAAATCACTTTTTGAGTTTATTAATCGTTTTAGAAATTGTTCCACAGGTTTAGTTCAACGATAGATTTATAAAATGTAAACTTCAATACAAACAATAAGATGTAATGAGGCTTTTTACTGGTTTTATTGGTTTATCGTTTATCATCACAAATATTACCCACAATGCTCTTAAGATAATTTTTACCTCTGCAGCAATATTTACAAGCTAGTCATTAATGTATTACCAGCTTTATGTCAAGTTTTGTGTTCAATCGTTTAGTTGAATATTTATGTACAAATTTCCATTTGAATGGAAAAGAGTAACTGATTAATTTAAACTGTGAACTTCTTTTTAACTACAGTACAGTATCCAAAGTTGATGTCTCTTCTTAAGTGTCTTTAGTTACTTCAATTTCAGTAAATGAGTTGCTATTTTAACATCCAAAATATGTTTACCTTCGATACCTTAATTTAATATGTGAAGATGCATTTTTATATGTTCATTATTTTACAAAACTCTTAAAAAAAAAAATTATTTGGGCTTTAGTGTATTAAAATTTGTAATATTGGGAAAATATCAACATTTTGACTGTACATTCCTATTCCTAGTTATTATTAGTATGGTTCATTTGTAAGTTTTGTGCAAGCATTAATGTAGATTTTAATTAATATATTTGTAATTGTTTTTATTTTAATAATTTAATTTACTAGGAACAGTTTAGACATGAAAGACATTTTTAAATATTTAAACTATTATTTTGTTTTAAAATTTTTGTTTTTCCTCAAACATTTTTGAATCACACTGCTAAGCTGTCTATAAGTGTTGTTATTGTTTGTTAGTTATGTCTTTTGTATAAAAAATATATATTTTAAAATAGCTTTGTTACCTGTATATATGAAGAATGCAATTATATATATAATTTATAGTGAAAACTTGTTTAATGATTCATCCCCGTGAGTCTAAATTGATTTTCCTCAAGTATTGTGTTAATTTGAGCTACAAATTATTTTACTCAGCAAAAGTTTGAAAACATATTTCAAACTTTGTAAGACAAGAATGTGTTTGTGATCAGATAATTCAACCCATATTTTTTAGTTTAGTTTTTTAGTTTCACAATTTCTACTTCTTTTATCTCTTTATTGTTTCTAATTTGATTGTTTAGTCCGATAGTGGTGCCTGTCAGTGTCCTTGGCATGTCGACTTGATTCTTGATTATTGACTGTACTTTAATTGTAATTGTTGTGAATTTCTATAAAACAATAGTCGATAATTATGTTTCCTGACAAAGGGTGTTTCATAAAGGCGTACAGCCAAAACTTGTATAGTTGAATCATTTAAAGTGGCGATCAGGATGCACATGAGCTTTGAATCCTTCCTCACCATTGCTCTTGTACAGTCATCTTTTTGATCTCTTGCATAACCCTTCCTTCCTACACACCATCATAATTGATATTATCTTTAACACCAAGTCAACGATTTGGAACTGCAAACGACAACATATTCATATAAACAAAGATAATCTAAACTCAGTTTTGGGGCTATGGACAAGGATTTAATAAATTATCAACGTATTCTGGTAGTTCCTATATCACTTTGTGGTTGTCCTTTTCCCTCCGAATGTGTTCCAGAGTTTTGACTGGATCGTTGGAGTCGCTTCTCCATTGCACGTCGGGGGTGTCCACTCTCATGAAGGGGTTGGTCTGCCATTCTTCGCCTGCGGAGGAACAGAGATTAGTGTTGTCAAATTTTAAAAATCTGTGGTCAATCTAAAATTTGTTCACCTATCTACTAACCGTTTTCAATCAAAATTAGTAGGGTACCTATTCCATTAGCTAATACTCTACGAAATGTATGACTTTTTTGTTAAAAATTGTGTCTATTACAATTATTTTACCTATTGTAGAAGGTACGGTAGGGAGACGCTTTTCCAACATAACCTCTGACCAATTCAACTTCCGGCCGACATCTCTGTTGTAAGGGTCAGCGTGTGAAGCGTACATTAAGTTCGGATATGTGAACTCATGCCCACAGAACACCAGCTGAAATCAAATCAAATTTTCTCAATTCAATAGATTATGTATCCTAATGCTGTACATGTCTTAGATTGTTATCCACATTGAGAAGAAATGGTTACAAAACTAAATTAATACCAACTCAGACTAGCTATGTAGCTAAAAAATAGGTATTAACCTTCGTCTACAGCTCAATTTGTGGTAGCTTGCGTTACGGCCGTTACGGCATTATAATGCCATCATCAGACATCTTGTAAACTACCACAAATTGAGCTGTAGATAAAGGTAAATACATATTTTAAGTTATACCACAGCTCACCATGTTTTAGGGATTTTAACTATGTAGGAAGAAAAGTAACTTTTCTGGGAATACAAAGCTTACCTTATCAAATAGGCTTTTAGTTTGTTGGTTAAATTACTTATTTGTAACTTCTTATGTTGCTGGGTAAAATTTTAATCCTTTGTAGGGTGACACGAAATCAATGAATACAGACCCTCTAAGAAGATCACAGGTTTGTTAAAATAGTCAGTCAAAATTTGGCGATCAATATTTGTAGTTGTTACCTCCCACACCAGGAACGCTGCCGGTTTCTTTATGTCTTATGTCTTACAGATATCGATCACCAAATTTTTACTGACTAGGGCCCTTAAGACGTGTTCTTCTTAGAGGGTTTGTATTCATTGACGAAATGGAAGGTATGTTTTAAAATAAAAACACATTCATACTAGTTATTTGTGTTGGCATTTGTATGGTGGGAGGTCTAATACAAAGGTTCCTATCATAGACGAAGTAACATACAGATGATAAGTTTTTCAGCAATAGTTCTACTGCATATGTTACAGATTTATTATTGACTATCACCCCAAGGTTTTCTTGTAAACTTACAGTGTCATTAGGCAGGACTCCTAGTTTGAAGTATAAGTTCTTGTACATTTGATCAGCTGTTCCCTCCAAGAACCTTCCACATCCAGCAATGGTTAAAGTGTCCCCTGAAAACTCACTGATTTTAATTAAATGTTATATATTGAAAGGAAGCCAATGGCCGTTAATTCAATGTTATGCTCTAAGGAAAGCCAAATGGCTGATTTGGAGTTGTGATGCCAATCTTGCATACATTTACTAATCTACATCCATACCAGAGTAATGCCCATTTTACTCTTCAACATAGGGAATCAATAATTTGTTAGAAAAATACATACAAAACTCTATTTTGATTAACCTGATTATTTTATTGCAGAATTTACTAGTACTTTTTAACTTACAAAAAAAGTCAGTGATTTTCTCTACTTTCCATTTTTTTCGAGTGAGTTTCCCCTTTGGTCCATAACAACTCAACATTTGCATGGGAACAAAAATATCTATATTACTGTAGAAGGTCAGTTAAACCACTGACTTTTGGAAACTGAAGCAGACATCCCATCTACTTGAACCAGCAGTCGCCATTTTAAATTTGTTATTAAAAAAGAATCCAGTTCTGTGACATAGTCACAAATTGGGCTAGTGTTTTAAATTCGATTCCTACCTTAATTTTTGTGGCTGGGATGATTGACTTGACATACAAGATGATGTAGCTTACAATAAGTCATACTATCAGTTTGACTTGGTAAAAAGTACACAGATTTAGTAGAAATCAGTAATTCACGTCAGCGTTATCTGTTGATATGTCTTACTTCAACTATGTCCATTCCACTTTGATTTAAAAACTGGCAACATCCTCAACATAAGGTTGTCTAGTTCTTAGTCCAAGCAAACTAACCAAACTTACATAGGGATCGTTAAAAAAATTGCAAGAAAACGTTTTATGGTTTTATTTTGTAGAGTTGGGTTTGCAGAATGACATACTAAAAGTTGCCAAAAATCGGTGCACGAGAAAACCACTAAAATCACAATTTAAAATGGCGGCTTTTTCCAACATTGGACAAATAAAAAAAAAACATATTTCACATGCATTTTTTATGCACATTTTTTGAGATATTGACTTGGGACCACCGCCTGTATTTATTGGGTGGTCAGTACTTCATTTTGATAGGGAACATATTTTTGGCCACCATCTTGGTTCCGCCATATTGGACATAGATAATTTTTTTTCAACGTAATGATAGTGTTGTGACACATCATTACGAACTACATTTTTACACTGATTTCAATGCCGAAATCCGTTTTTAAATATCTATGGTATTCATTTAGAAGATATATTCAAACGAAAACTCTCCACCATACATTTCTTATGGACGTTTCGTAGTTTGATAATTGTTTTAAAATTATTTTTCTTATATCTCCAGTTCTTATTGACGCTTGTAGTTCGTTCTAGGCTTAAAATATTCAGTAATGTATGGGCTTTCATTTGAGCTCTTGATCATTAAAATCAGACGAGTTAAAGACCAGCTACAAACCTCAGAACAATATTAAATTTAACTTTTTAGAAATATATTTTTATTAAAATATTTATAACTCGGGTTGTTAATACGACACAAAGTTATTTTTGGTCTCAAATTACTCAGTAAATGTTTGGCTTTAATTTTATTGATCATTAAACAAAATCTGACAATTTTAAAATGAGTCATGGACCATAATTAAACATTAAAATTTATTCATATTGAAATATGTCTTTAGTTAAAGACGTATATTCTCAATTCTAAATAACTCCCAAAACTCTTTATAGTCTTAAATAATTCGCCAAATTATTGAATTTTATTTAAGCTATGGATTACTTTCCGGGAGTTATTAGGGTTGGGGATATATATCCTTAATTAAAGACAAATTTCTAAATAAATACATTTTAATGTTAAATTAATAACCATGACTCATTTTAAAATTGTCAGATTTTGTTAAGTGATTAATAAAATCAAAGCTAAACATTCACTGAGTAATTTGAGACCAGAAAGAACTTGGTGACGTATTAACAACCCGAGTTATAAATATTTTAATAAAAATATATTTCTAAAAAGTTAAATTTAATATTGTTATGAGGTTCGTAGCTGGTCTTTAACTCGTCTGATTTTAATGATCAAGAGCTCAAATGAAAGCCCTTACATTACTGAATATTTTAAGCCTAGAACGAACTAAAAGCGTCAATAAGAACTGGAGATATAAGAAAAATAATTTTAAAACAATTATCAAACTACGAAATGTCCATAAGAAATGTATGGTGGGGAGTTTTTGTTTGAATATATCTTCTAAATGAATAAAGATATTTAAAAACGGATTTCGGCATTGAAATCAGTGTAAAAATGTAGTTCGTAATGATGTGTCACAACACTATCATTACGTTGAAAAAAAATTATCTATGTCCAATATGGCGGATCCAAGATGGTGGCCAAAAATATGTTCCCTATCAAAATGAAGTACTGACCACCCAATAAATACAGGCGGTGGTCCCAAGTCAATATCTCAAAAAATGTGCATAACAAATGCATGTGAAATATGTTTTCTTAATTTGTCCAACGTTGGAAAAAGCCGCCATTTTAAATTGTGATTTTAGTGGTTTTCTCGTGCACCGATTTTTGGCAACTTTTAGTGTGTCATTCTGCAAACCCAACTCTACAAAATAAAACCATAAAACGTTTTCTTGCAATTTTTTTAAGGTCATATCCTATATTTCTCCGACTATTCTGTCAAGAGTCAGAGATTGATTAAACCAATAAGTTTTGAAACTTAGTACTGATGAACCAACATTGATTTTTTGCCAGGGAAGAAGTGAGTTATACAATGTTGATAAAAAGAGCTTATACTGTATCGTAAGCAGGAACAGCTGATACCTGTAAACACGACTCTAGGCTTGGTACGCAGCACGTAACACACGTCTCCCGTGGTGTGGCAAGGTGTATGTATAACGTCCATGTCCAGCGCACCGATGTGTATCCGCTCGTTATCCTCCACCATTGTCGTCAACCCATCGATTCTGTCATCCTTCCCGTACACAGGGATCTCTGGGTAATCCTTCAGCAACTTTCGATTGCCCCCGGTATGATCTCTAAAACATGGAGTGCAAAGAAATGTAAATTGTTTAATATAACGTCTTTCAATGTCTCTGTTTTAATATTTTGTAAAGGGTATTTATTGTTCAGTATGGACCTAGTGTGTTTATCAGTCAACCTGTAGTTCTAGGAGCATAGTTTAAGAAAGTGGCTTTAGCAGATAGTCAATGTTGAATATCACACTTTGTTTGTGACTTGTGAGTTCTTAAATAGTTCATAAACCTTACAAAAAAAATTATGCAACCAAATTTAATTCAACAGCATAGTTAGTTCTAAGTTAAAAAAAAAAATCTAACACCATGTTTCTGTACCTCTTAACGCAGTCCAGCAAACCAAACCGACCATTTCCAGTTTTACATCTGTGTCAAATACCGTGTTAAAATGTAAACAAAACACTTATTGTTTATTAATAGCCCAGTCACGACCCACTACGGGTGTTACAGGAACAACAAAACAAATTTTTATATAGGAAAAGTTTTAGTAACCCAATTCTTTTTTAGAGTGTCTTATTGTTGTCAACTTTGATAGTACGTTCTCAAAATATTTTTGTTTACCAGATTATAATCCACACTAAGAGATGGAAAAGTGACGTTTCAAATACAATTAACTGCAGTTTTAGACACGTTTTCTCAGTTTCTAAGAGCATTGGATGAGTCTCAATTTTTTTATGTTATCGTTATCACTTAGGCGGTTAAAATATTACGAACTTGTGATAGTGGGTGTTCAAGATCTTGGTCAGTCGATAATCCTCCCCCTCCAGGTCTTCTAGAATCCACTGAGGCTCAACAGGATCAATGACTGCTGCTTCTTTGGTGATCTCATCAATTATCTGCACAGAAAACACAAACCATAATAGAATAGTCAAACTGTGTAAAAATAAGATAAGCTTTCTTTTACCAAATCGGTCTACCTTACACAAGGCCAGTAGCAGGCAAGTTAACTGCCTCCAGTGTATTTAACATTACCAGAGGCAGGTAACCTGCCCACTAACTGGCTTCATGTGGACACAGCTTTATTGGTAGATTTATAGAATATAGTATGATGTATGATATGTCATGCCCAACAGAACATTATAAAAAAAACACCTTCTTGGGAGTCACGTACAATATGTTTACCGTAACTTACAGGGAAAGTTAAACACAACCCATACATGCAGTTAAAACACAGGTTGGTGTTTTAATTTCACTATTTTAACACAACATTTAACTAGAACTAGCATTATCGATTATTTTAAAATTAAACGTTTATAAACCTTTTCAATACACTTTCACAAATAAATATTTGTGAAAGTGTAATGTGCCTGACCTTATTTGTCTAGTATTTATTATGTCGTTTCACTTGAATCGTTACCAACTTATTTTCAAGTGTACACGCGTATTACGTGTCTCATTAAAGTAGACTGTTTTGAATTGTTTGGTTGATATACTGGAGTGCGGCAAAAGTAAGTAAATGCAGCAAATAGCTACTTTGCGTGCTATAATCAGTACAAGGAAGCCCACTTTGTCAGGTAACTGTAGGAAAACTCATATTATGCTTTTTTTTCCCATATACGAGCTATTGGTAAATTTGCTAGACTCAGGCTGTATTCCAACTGACTTTAATGGTAACTTTCTGCGAACATCAACTTTCTGGTCCACAAAGCGTTCAGAAACCAGCTGTTTACAGTTTAGTGTGGGTGTGGCAAAGGTTATTTACGTCCAAGCAAAAGCATAACTACAGTGGTTTAATTAGATTACATTGCTATACAAATTAAAAATTCTAACTCACCAAGTACATGTAATTGTCATGGAGAGCAGGGATGACTTTTATGATGGCTCCACGTAAGTTAACAGTCTTGGGTTGGGAGTGAAACTTTTCCCCTTCTCTGCGGTATGCTGCTAAAACTCCATAAACAAGTATTGAAAACAGAACGGACAAAAACATTGCTGTGCAGTTTCCTACGTCATCTGGGGTTGCTGGAATCAAAAGAAGGATTGTTGATATACTTTCATATGCAAATTGGCACATTTGTGAAATTTGTCAGTAAGTACTTTTATAAAACTGAGTTTGTTATGGTACTTAACTCCTCAAGTCTAAAAAACATACAGTATGATGTATGGTAGGTAATTTGAAGATGTTAAATTTGACAGTAAAGTAATTTGCTCTTTCTAAAAGGCGAGGTAGAACAGTTTGTGTATAAAAGAGAAAACAGTACTTTATGACAGTACATTCTGTCGGTAGTTTATTCAAACTAAGTTCTTTTAAACTGGCTGTAACTAGCTCTCAAATATAAAACTGAATTCAATAAAATTAATTTATAATACCTAAAAAAAATTACCTGTCTTCACAAGATAAACATTAGCGATCTTGACAAGCTATTCACGATGAGATAATCCATTGGAACGAGCACATAGTTTTTGCTTCAGTTAACAATCTGTTAAATCAAACACGTCAAAAATTGAAGATTTTTCTGATATCAAGAGATGAGAGTAAGGTAGATAGAACATGTTGATAATCTATGACACCCTTATCAACAGATGCTGTGATATAGCTTTTTAATACACTGTATACATTGAGAGTTACTTGTTAATTACATGTTGGTAACTAATAAAGTAGCTATTATTGTGCGCTAACTAAAACAAGTTTTCTGTAAACTGTTATGACTTCTTCTGAAATCTAAGAGGCGTGATAAGAACTACTGAATTCGGTTCAAACTTTAGGTTCACCATCATTGTTAGCCAAGCAGACCATCTAATATATCGAGTTTCCAACAAAGGTATAATTCTGTTGATAAAATTCTCAAATAAAGTTAGGGAAATACAATTTTTAGTATAATATGGAAAATATCGTATTGAAGGTATGGATGTGAGTAGCGAAATCACCCACTAACATTGACTATTGGATACAGAAGTATTAAGTTGTTGTATTAATAGTCAAAGCCCGCTAATAAAATAGCCCTCGGCTGTTGAAAGTTTAATATGATTTTACAAAATTAAACTTGATAATTCACCCTTTAAACGGAGGCTTTAAAAAAATAAAGTATTGTGAACTTGTGTGTTTTACAGGGTATTACCAACTGTTTGAAATTTTTTATTCTGTGTGTTGGATGAATATGTGTTATTTCATTTAAATTTTGCACTTTTATGGAACGAATAAAGACAGTTTACTATCTAGAGTTGTACAACTATTGTCTGGGTAGCTGAGTGGTTTTAGTGCTGGCCTTAAAATCTGAAGGTCGCTGGTTTGATTTTAAAACATCACTAGACCCAGATTCCATTTGTCATTGGGCTATCATTTTAGCCAAAAGTGCAAATTATCAATTAATGATGCTTCTAATAAAAAAATCAACATTAGATTATATAAATATTCAGGATTTAAACCGTAACCTTAGAAAAAATAAATAAATAAAAATGCTAATTGTGTTGATCCACACAAATGATAGACACTCAAAAGAGTATGTTAGAATGCCGCAGAAAATCAATAACACAAAAAAATATTTCTAACATGGAAGAGTGTTTGATCTTAAAATCTACAATGTAACTTTATTGAGATCTGATAAGATAAACTAAATATGTTTGTATCAATCGGCATTCAAACAGTAGAGATGTTTTCAATCCAGCATTTGTTACTTTTACAATCAATTAGCAGACATGTAATAGGAGTAACTTGAGGTATGTTAATTTAAGTGATATTTGGAAAACATGTTTAATTTTTCAACACACTCAATTTTCTTGTTACTTCTAATATGTTTAAAGTATAGAAAAGTTGTTTGTAAAGTAATAGAAGACAGTGAAAAATTCACTTATGTAAGAAACACTTCTGTTTTTATCGACAAAACATTTTTCCTCAAGAAAGTTCTTCAGTATAACCGTATTCTTATTACAGCACCTCGAAAGTTCGGTAAAACAACAAATCTGCAGATGGTCAAACTGTTTTTGGCCAACCACAACGAGAAAGAATACGCTGAAAGATTTTTTGAAAACACCAATATTTGGAGGGACAAACAGTTCTTGGAGAAACACTTCTGCAAACATCCTGTAATATATTTTAGTCTTAAACCTGAAGTGTATTCTGAATCTATAACAGACATTGCACGAGAATTGAGAAGGAATATTAAAAAAGCTTATGATGAACACAGCTATCTCAGTAAGTCATCGAAATTAAACAAAGCGGCTATACAATGGTATACAGCCTATGTTAATTTGGAAGTGATAGATTTCTCAAGAGGATTACAATTTTTATCTGAAATTCTTTACATGCATCATGGGAAAAAGGCCGTGATTCTGATTGACGACTACGACCATTTAATTACTCGGAGTGTATTCTCGAAATTAGATTTGAATAAGATCTCCCGTGCAGTGTTCCACATCATAAATGAAACAATCAACGACAATGTGTGTCTAGAAAGAGCTATTTTCATGGGTACAGTTCCACTTAAGTCAAGAATGAACTTGCTTCAATCCTTCAAATTCATGGAATCTAAAGATTTCAGTTCTTATTTTGGATTTACCGAATCAGAAACAGAATACCTCTTGGATAAGTTCCGTCTCGGAAGATACAAGAGTGAAGTGTCAAAGTGGTACGGAGGTTATAACTATATCAAAGGAACATTTCAAATATATAACCCTTGGTCGGTTCTTATGTTTTTGAAGACAAGGACATTCGACACCCATTGGATTTCTTCAAATGTGGAACAAATTTTGCTTAAGTATGTTAAGCCTCATTTTAAACTACATAGTCACTGCAGAGTGCTTGCGAGAAATAAGAGCATCACGTACGATGTGATTCCAAGCTTCACGTTTAAGGAGATCACAAAGTTAAAGCAGCTTCAGTCTTCCTACAGTAGAGTAAAAGAAGACTATGATTTGTTTATCCAGTTTTTCCTAGAAAGTGGTTATTTAACATACGCTAAATCATACAGAGTAGTACCAGGGTCGGTGACTGTAACTTTACCGAACCAGGAAATCTTCAGAGTTTTTGACAATATTGTTAAACAGCTTCCAGTTCCAGACTTTTCCAAAAGACCTACGTTCAGAAGCAGTTATAAATGAAAGGACACTTTCAGTGGAAAATTCAGGCCTTACAAAAGGTGGTGATCAAAGATCTAAAATTATTGATTGAGTTTTCTAGGTTTATATCAATAATTTGTATTCATGTGTAATTAAATTTATTTTTAATATGTATGCATTGAAGAACTAGCCAAGGCGGAATCATCAATTTTGATGCAAGCAGGATCGGTATGTATCCCAGAGTACCTAGTAGGATGGATTAAAATAAAATGCCTATTCCCCTTATAAATTGACCACCCTAATTCAATAACTGCTTTCTTTGAGCATTTTCTCCAGTAATTTCCTTTTTAGTTTTCCATTTAACATTTAAAAATCAAATAGAATTTAAAAATTTAGCAAAACAGTTGAATATATATATTTATGTATACATTATGTAAAACTGCAAACAGATCTTATATACTGATAAGATAATTTCTGGCTTCATTCTACTGAATTTTCCCTAAATTTAAATCAACCCTGGCAACTAACTGTACTTATTTAGAAATACGAAAATACATACTGTAGTATTAAAAATATGCCATATGGCGGTAATAATAAAATACCCCCACCGCAGCACAGCCAACCTGCTGACTAAGCAAATTTCCATTTGTCTAAGTTTATTTTCAATCAAATCTATTTAAATAACATTTGGTTTAGTATGTTTTATCTATGAAAGTACCTAGGTTTGTTGCTACAAGGAAACTAATAAAGTGTTCTTTTTTAGTAAAATATTAATAGCTTAGTATAAAATAAAATAATTTGCCATGTTTGATCAAAATCCTAAACTATAATACGAGCTAAGTCTGTCTGTCTGTCTGTGTAATATGCATCACGAAGTCCAGCGAAGGATTTTTACTAAATTTTGGAATTAGGGACTTATAGCCCTAAAAACGTGACTGGAAACAACCACTACCTCAGGAAAATTCGTGTTTCGCTACACAACTCATTAGAAAATTAAAAAATTTAACAGGGGGGAAAGTACAAATAGGGGAAAATTGTTTCCTTCCACCATGGGGGAAAATAGGGTAAGTGTTTCGTGTTGGAGACATTTTGAGTGCACTGGTGTCAACTCAATGTTTCACTCTTATTCAAGTGTTTATTTTTACACTAGCAGATTACCCGGTCTTCGTACGGGGTTGGAATAATTAATAATCAAATAAAATAATCGTATAACAAAATTATTTCAATGTTTCTTTAGCCCCCGAGGGTATGGGGCGTCCTTAAGACCCAACTCTAGAGCCTCTTCTGACTCCATCTCCATCTAACACCTTTTTAACAGATTTCCTCCATCTCTCAGGTAGAACAAGTAATCTAGTGAACAACGATTGAATGAAACACATCAAAACCAGCTTCAGATTTTACAATCGGGTGAGATATTCACTCTAGCAGTATCAAAAGCCGTATAATACCATTGATTATACATCCCCCCAAGAAATCTTGGGAAGATGTAAGAGGTGTATGATAAATTTCTGGTGCCTTATAAACTATAGACTACTTATGTTTTATCTACATTAAGCTTAAACGCTTAACGGACGCTTAATGGATCAGCCGAAGAAAACCTTTGAGCTATGCCCCCCTCCTTTGACCTGAAGAAAACCGTCCGGATTTGTTTGGACACAAGGCTGTATTTTTTAACTGTTTCTCGTTATTTGGCAATCCATTTAAAACTAGTATATACAAATCCAATTGCAAAAAAGTCTGTTACTTGGTTTTTTAGCTAAACAAAAATACAAATCGAAATCATAAATAAACCCTAAAATGAAAGAGGTCGTTTAGTAGACATCAGCGCACTCTTGGCGTTCCCAACCTGTAAGACTCTGAAAATAGGCTTCAGATTTGAAAACAGAATCACAAGTCTCTTTGCACAATTCAAAGTCAATTATTTCATATATTCTTTTTTAAGTGATATTACAATTAATTATAGTTTCTTGTGCATTGTTATAGTATAGAGAGTTGTAATTTATATTATTGGGGCTTCTATGTTTACACCTGTACGTTATATTGTGGGAGGAAAAGAAGAAGTGTGATAGTCTCTGATTGGCTATGAATTTTAAAATAGTTTCAATTCCGTTCCACCAGAGCGCATTGAATTGAAACTAACATGTCTGCCTTGAATTTCTGTAACAAGTTGTGAGTTTTTGTTGATGTTAAATGTTGACAAAACTGTTTTGTTGTGTTATTATGTGATAGTTAATATTTTTTTAGGTTGTTATTGGTTTATAAAATGGTTTAGTACTGTTACCATGTGTGAAAGTGTTAAGTTTTTCAAGCAATTAGCTGTGTTCTGTACTTCAAACAACATCAAAGGGACAGGTATTTCTAAGGTAAGTAAGCCAAAGTTAAACTTAAAAGGGCGGTTTCCTGCAAAGGGTTGTTTGATCCCCTTTGATATGTTAATTTGCTAACAACAAACGTTGACCGGGAACTTCAAATTCTCATACTTTAGACCATTGTTTCAAATTTTAAATATGTAAATAATTTATAAGTTAAGGATAATACCTAAAATGAGAAAGATCCATGAATGGTGTTGAGGGTTAGGTAATTCAGTTGCTGTATTTCTTAGTCGCCTCAGATGGGTTCTCTAAAAGCGTGTAGGCCTAATAATTGATAGGTTAAAATCCTAACAAAGTTGCAAAGTTACCTACCTACTAAAACATGTTAGAAAAGTAATTTGATTGAAATTCTAGGGACCTAAGGGTAAAATAGGCTCTATTAAAGATTTAATATTCCTATAGGCCTACTGCTGAACTCACTGCAAGTTTTGCAAAGTAAATTTTAGGATTATTCTACTTAACCCTTGTGGTGTTTAATTTCAAACTAACTTAGGCCTACCCCTACTGACTCCTTGTCCGATGCGGTGTTAATGACCAACTTGTCAGTAAAATAGCATTGATGAGATCAAATAAGGCTCTGAGAAGTTTATCGATGTAAAACTGCTGCTTTGATCCTATTAGCTAGTCCTAGACTCTAACTTAGCAAATCTCTTGTAAGTAGCCTGGAAGTTAGAGAAAGATTTTAATTTTCCCCTGATAACTTAAGTTATTTACAGACACTGATTGTAACCACCATCATACTTAGATTTAGCAGGCTAGCCCCAAGTTCCCAGCATCAATAACTTACGTTTGCTGCGGTGCTTGGAAAGTAGCCGGTCCCATTGTGATTGTATTGCCAATTGGAGGGAGAAAGATTTTACTTAACAAGTTGAATTTTAAGCTTGTCAGAGGGGGATTGTACGGGGAAATTTACTACCAAACTACACCATAACAAAAAGCTAGTCACACAATACGTGTACGCTACCGTAACGTGGTATATCTAGGTCCGCCTTCGATCGACGCTAGAGCAAAAACATTGCCGAGCGTTCCTGATCGGGTAAGAACGCATCATACCGAGCAACGTATCCGATCGGGAACGGCCTCACTCAATAACAGTGCCAGACTAACTTATTTTTAGTTTACAATTTGGAGGAGTTATCAGGCCTAACTTACCTAGAAGATTTTACCTTAAGGAATGAGGAATAAAATTTGCCACTAAATCACCCGACTCGACTGCAATGAAAATCAACTTAAGTAGATCCTTGTTTTAGTGTCCACCTAACTCACTTAAATTCTATGACCATCCTGCACGAGTTCTATGGCCTTAGTTTTAAACTACCACCAACGTCTAGACTAAGTTAAAGAGTCTTAGTGAGACTGTTATGAGGCTCTCATTAGGTAGCCTAGGTAGTAAATTACGGTATTCAAAAGATTAGTTGCAACATCATTAAAATTTAATAAGTAGATTAGCCTATTATAATATTCTCTCTGAGAAATTATTGGATGTGTGACACAAATTTAATTTTTTACATACCTACCGTACAATAACCTATGTGCTGTCAATAAGGAATGATGCATTTAACAAAGTACCTACCTTAGTCTACTATCTAGGCCAAAGGAACAAGACTACCCCACAGAGAAGTAAGGTAGAGAGGAAACTTACTTATGAGACGACTTTGCGCTTTCAGCACTATTTAGTTTGTTGTGGTTATACTGTGACGAGCAAGGAAGAGCCCAAGCGGCGAGCACTGTGTGGAAATTTTCATGAAACAGGGCACAGGGTCTTCCTCCACCGTAAGCATTGTTGTGGGTACATTAAGGCATGAAATCAAGGGGGGGGGGCGGTGTTGGACTATGCCCTAGATACCAGCGAAAATAACTACTTACTAAGGGCTAGGCACCACTTCAAGAGTGTAACTTACGACTTGAATGTAAAGAAAGTAACATGACTACAAGATCGCCACTCATCCTATAGGCCTACTCATTTCCATTCATACTTTGCCTAAAGTTAGGCTTCCTACTTTCGTATGGTTGCCATTTCAGATAAAAGTATTAATATTTATTCTATAAATAACTTCTTTATCAGCATTTTGTGTTATTAGGCCTACTGACCCAACCTGATTAATTCTCCGGTACTCAACAACAAGACAAATTAGATTTAGCTAGGCTAAGTTCAGTTTAAATTTTAACAAAAAATAGTTAAATGAAGTTGATTAAGAGTTTAGAGGAAGTTAATGTTGATTTACATTTGAATTAGCCTAGGTCTAATTGTATCAGTTGCCATTGATCATCCAAGTTTAAATAATCTATACTTATTTAATAGCCTACGCAAGCAGGGTTTTTGTGACAATTACTCCTCCGAAACTACTGAACCGATTGGCATGTTTTTGGTGTCGTTGGAAAGAGTGTAACGTGAAGTTGTGCAGGAAACTTTCTTTTTATGGGAATAATTCAAGAGTGAGGCCCTGGGGCCCTTTAAAGTTTCATATTTCTCCATAAGATTAACATGGGAAACAAAAATTGTTATGCAACTCCAGCTGTTGACAGAAATTAAAAGTGAGAAGAAGAACATATGTTAATTGTAAACAGTCAATAAGTTTGCTACGAATATTTACTGACTTGGTTGGGGAAAATGAAATATTTAGCCTACTATCTGAATTTGGGTTGGCGTAAATATTACAATGGAAAAAAGCGAGAGAGCCTAGATAAAATGATATAATCTGTTATGTACATCTTGAGTATTTCCATAATATTTGAGTCTAATCTTTTAAAGTCATCAGAAATTATTACTGTTATTCATTTTGAAATAACACCTGTAATACTTAGCAATTGCTCGAATTCGAGCAACAGGGACACTAGTCTAGTAATTATTTTATATTAGGTACCTAAATAGCCTACTTTTATGAATACGTTAATTGAATTTGTAAAATAGCCACAA